GTGGTCAGCACTGGGAGGGGCCTGTGGGAAGTGAGCGTCCTCATGCTATATCTGGGGTCCACAGGACTGGCCAAGCTCCATCCATCCTATGGGTCAGGGTGGTCAGCACACTGACCACCTCAGGTCTCTACCAGCTGCGCTGGCCTGGCCCTGGCAGGTCCAGTGTAAAGGAAGGGCAGGCCCGGCCCTGCACCCACCTCTCCCAGTGGCTGCCGCCCGGTGGGCTCCTGAGGAACTGAAAGAAGCCCCCAGCAGCATTAGCCTGTCACCAGAGGCCCCAGGAATGTCCTAGTTCCTGGTGGGGTCATGGACATGGCCCACTCTGCCTTCTACACTGGGCACATCAGGCCCTTGGGGGCCGCTATGAGGCTGCACAGAACTATCGTGTGGAGTTCCGTTTCTATTTTTAGTTCCATTTAAAGATTTTTTTTTAAACTGGAAAACTCAGGTATCAGAAACACTGAAATTTAAAAACACAGACAGATGTTTGTGGAGGGCACCACTGCTGGCCAAGGAACAGGGCTATGTCCTATCTGAGGCAGCACTTTCCCACAGACCGCCAGTGTCCAAATAGGCAGGGGCAGCATCAGCTCACGGGGTGGGAGGTACAGTCCAGAAATCAGAGCTGTTCCTGGCTTGGGATTTTATACAACTCTGGGTAAGGCCCTATTGGCCCTGGGCCTTCTAAGAGCTCCCATTTCTAAGGCTGCTTCCTTTCTGTTGGCCCAAGGCCAGTGGCCAGGGTCTGAGCTGCGTCCCTGCATGTGTGGCTGGCCTGCTCAGATTTCACCTTGCACAGGATGTCTTCCTGTAGCTGCAGTGTCCTGCCTGGAGGCCATCCCCAGCCCATTGTGCTGGGCTTCTCTCCACACCCAGGGCTGCAGGTGTCTCTCTCATGCTGTGGGCCCAAGCAGCACTTGGAGGCCTGAATGTGGTTTGCTCCTAACTTCAGGAAAAAGGAATTACAGGCAATACAGCCCCTGGCTAATGCTTGCCACCCACAGGGGGACCTGGCTGTGTCTCTGCTTCTGATCAGGACAATTCAGAACAAGTCATGAAGAAGATGACACATTTGAGACTCAACTTTTTCTGTATCGCTGCACTTAAGTCTTTGCTTGTGCAACCTGCTATCTGCCCTATCACTAAGAGGTGGGTGCAGGGGTGAAGTCATGCCCATCTGAGGAGAGCACAGCCATGTGCACCAGAAACCATGTGCACACATGTAGGCATGTAGGTCTGGACTTTCTCAGCTAAGCTCTCCAGAAAGCCCAGACATTCGGGATGTGACCCCAGAGGCAGGGCAGCCTGAGGGGCCAGCCCTGAGCAAGGCACTGGCAGCTCTAGGGGTCCCCTGAGTCAGCCCCCTGGGAACTGGCCCACAGGTCCTATGCACACAGCTTAGAACTACCATCTCCAAGCACACTGAGTGATGCCACAGGGTCCAGTGGCCCTGCTGACAGACATTGGAGGCTGGGCAGAACTCTAAGCACGATCCATACAGAGAGTCACAAAGTGGGCTCTGCCCACCCTGACCCTAGCAGTGCATCTAAGCTCCAGCTTAGATGAGGCAACTGTAGGGGGGGGGTCCATGTTTTTGTGCATTTCATGCTCACCCCCCTCCCTTCAGGGAAAGAGCAGTGTCAACCTGGACCCTGAGGACAGGTGCAGAGCTCAGCCATGGGGGTTCCCAGGGCCCGTGAGACCAAGATGCAGACCAGGAAGGAAGGTCACAGAGCAGACCTCAATGCACTGTGAGCCACTGCCAACGGCACAGAGGCCCTTCTGACACGGGGTCCACCACCCTGGGGCTCAAGCAAAGGCAAAACCCCCACCTCACTGCAGAAGCTTGGAATTGTGATCTCTGCGTCCTTGAGCAAACACTCTAATCCTGCCTCAAACTCTGAAATTTATTTTGTTACTTTTCTTAGGAATATTTCTAAGAACCCCACATACAGGGGAAAGGGAGAAGTTCTTATTAACATATGACATTATTTTAAAATATCACTTTAATATATTATTCTTCCTAAGGAGAAAAACAAACAACTTAGAAGACGACTTACCAGGTTTGAAGGTGATTAGGCAGGTCCTATTTGTACACGTTCCTTCTGGAAAAATCATTATCTTGAAACAGAGGGAAAAAGGTCAGCATTAAACCACACATGATTATAATTCAGACTTTGTAAGTGCCAGTCTTCACAGTACATGCCCTACTACCATGGACATCCTCTAGAAACTCTGATCATATTCAGGTGAGAAGCATAAGATGCATCATGGAAGGAGACACAGATTCCCACCCTGCTGCTCATCAAAGCCTGGAAGCAACTCACACATACAAACAGCACATGTCTTAGACCACCGCTTCCCCCAAACAGGGTCAGTGTGGTGCCTGCATCATAGGTGCTGCGAGAATCAGGCTCAACTAAAGGTGACCCGCAGTGAGTACCAGACAAGCACCTGACAGAAAGCAGCACCCTCATTAGGAAGGAAGCTCAGTGGAAATACATCCCCGGTGGATGGACTCAGAGGGTGGAACCGTGGCTGGGCACCAAGGGAGGGTAAGCCAGGCAAGGGGAGGACACGTGGCAGCAGCAGTGAAGAAACACCCTGTAACAGCTGTGGTCAGACTGAGTCTCAGCAATGCTAATGCAATTCAGACTCCCCCCACATGTGCGGAGGTCCAGCCTACACGCCTGCCTTCCCTCCTAGGCCCCAAGGGTAGGGCAGTCCTCAGGTGAGCTATGTGGTTTCCTGAGCACACCTGAGGGTTGGGCAGTTAATGAATGGAGAAGCCCCATGCTTGTTGGGGTGGCAGGGGGCCCCAGAGAGGCTGCCCCTGGGCACAGGTGGCCATGGCCCAGCCCCTGCAATGTTCCCTGAGTGACCAGAGCCCAGAGAGGCCTGTGAGATTTCCAGCTGCTAATGTTGGCTTGACTGAAAAAAAAATAGAAGGAGCCAAATACATCTAAGCCAATGACCCAAGGATGTGCCTATGGGGAGTCGGGGCTTCTGATGTCACCTGTCAGGTGGGCGAGGGAAGGTCACTCAGGATTTCTGGAAGTGAGAATGTGCAGACTGACATGTTAGCTCAGAAATTCAACTCCACCGAGGAGGGTGGGGTGGCCATCCTCTAGGTGCGTTACAGCTTACTTTCAGAAAGGATCATTTAGGAAATTGAAATGCATTTGAAAATCATTTTTCCTTATTTTCACTTTAAAACACAGACACCACAACCAAAGGCAGCTGATACTCAACATGTTCCTAGATTCAGATATTCTCCAAAACAACAGCAAAGAAATAAACAAAATCTAAAACCCAGAAAAAAACGTCCCAGCTCCTTTCTTGTTCTTTCCCCCACCATTCCCCCAAGTTCCCACCTTCTAGCACGAACCCCTCAGAATGCACCAGGGCTGCACTACCTGTGGCCACTTTCCGCTGGACTGCGCCCGCCTCTTTATTTCTTCTACCGTCTTCCTTCGAGAGTCCTGGTCTGACCGGGACACGAACACTGGGCGAATGTACTTTATTAGAGCTGGAGGAGAGAGGTAGGAGAGAATAAGGGGGGGTGTGGCTTCTGCCTTGGCAGAATGGGGGTGCTAGGAGGCCGCCCACGGCGCATGGGGAGACGGGAGCCTACAGGTTCCTAGGGGCTGTGCTGCTGGGCAGGTTTTGAAGCAGTGCCTGGCCCTGAGGAGGTCAGGGATCCACTCTGCCCGTGACCTCACATGATCATAGGGCTGCCCTGCAACTTACAAGGCCAAAAGTACCAGGAAGGAGCCCACAGGGCCACGGGTCAGGACACAGCACATAGGAGTCCAGAGGGCCATGGGTCAGGACAGAATACACAGAAGGTGGCCAAGGTGAGGACAAAGCATATGGGAGGTGGCCACGGGGCAGAACAGAACACACAGAAGGAGGGAGGCCACAGGGCCACGGGTCAGGACAGAGCACACAGAAGGGAGCCAGACTCTGGCCAGGAGGCAAAGTCTTCAGTCACTCGTGTTAATGTGGCAGGGGCTCCAGGGCTCCAGCCCCCATGTGGACTGACTGTGTCCTCCAGAAGATAAGCTGAGTCCCTGCCTCTGTTAGCTGTGATTGGGACCTCACTCGGAAATGGGGTTGTTGCCCATGATCAGGTTAGGAGGATGAGCACAGGCCCCCAGTGGTCTTTGTCAGGGAGAAGACAGATGGGGGAGGGGGCCATGGGAGGAAGAAGTCAGACTGCCCTGATGTGGTTGTGGCCAGGGAACTCCAGCCAGTGCTGGGAGCTGGGCGTGGAGCCTTCAGAAGAGTCCCAGGCGGCCAGTATCTCGAGTCTGGGCTTCTGGCTTCCCAGAAGTGAGAGCAGATCCCTGTTGTTGAAGCCAGCTGGTTTGGGTACTTCGTGTGGCATCCTCAGGAGATGGTGTTTCCAGCTACTGCACCACACGTCCTCTCTGTGGGGGTGGGGGCTGGGTACAAGGGACCTGCCCTGTGGTGAGGACGGCACCCAAGCCACGACACCAACAGCAAGGCCACAGCATGGCCCTTCTGCAAGAGGATGATGAGCGGAAAGATGAGTCTCAGAAAACTTTGAGTGACTTCTGAGCCTTGCTTTGGAGACGTGATGGTGAGCAAGGGTGCGGTTTCTCCGCTGGGTCCCAGTTTAGCTGATTCAGGTCTCTCATCATTTCTATTACTTGTAAAGAATAGTATCCATAACTTCTCTTCCCCCAAAAAGCAAGAGAAGATTAAAGGAAAAAAAGAATTCGTCTATCTTGCATTTACCCCTTGGGTCCACGGGCCCTTCTGTTAACTAGAAGGGTATGCAAAGCTCTGAGGTTTTCTTCTTGTGCCTAGAGTCACTGTTACTTCACCATCCTCAGGGCCATTTCACCCTTACTCATCAGGAATTTCCAATGCTGCCAAGGATGAGAAGGGAAGGCAGGCAGGATCGTCTAGGAGGAGGCTCCAGGAGGGACAGTGATGCTGCCCGGGGAATCGTCTAGAGGGA